AAGGATTTCAAACTAACACATTGCCTCAAGCAGCCATGAGTTATTTTGTTTGTTATATAAACAACACCGATAAAACGAAACATTGTTTTATATGGCCGCATGTGACCGCTTAGCCTTCGCGTTTTTTAGTCAAGAAGAAAAACACTCTATGTGGGTTTTGGAAAGCGCCCTTAACCAGAGCTCCAACCTCAAATCAATCTGATTTCCTGTAATATATTCTTGAGCTACGGGCATCATTCGGAAGTTTGTTTTCCTACTTTAGTCCGTTCTGAGATTATGGTTCATATACAGCTATTTCAGTAAATGTTGCCGATTCAAAGCGTCAAGCCTACGAAAGGAGATCTTCAAATTTGTATTTTTACATGTGAAGTATTAGCAAGGACAGATAAGAATTTCCACTCATAAGACCGTTTTTCGGTAGCTTTTCTTTCACGGTTACATAACGTTTAGTTAAAAATTCTTTTAAAATCAATTGTGGCGAAAAGATCCTTGTTTCCACAAGTCTTAAGAAAAAGAAAACGTACCAAATGACGTTTGCAATGTTGTTGTATTTGATTAGTATTCAGCACGTTTAGCAGTTCTCTACTTCTACCCATACTAACTTTCGCTCTTGTCGCGTAAACTCGAGGCTTTGATCCGACAACGCTAATTGAAATAGCTGTATAATTGTGATATTCCTCAGTTGGTAATTATCTTTGACTTTGCAAAGAAAACATTACGTTACTTGAAGGAGCTACGTCACGGTTTGCGCATCTTGAAAAGTTTGGCCTAAATTTTTCAAGTTCGTCGTTTGTAATCCGTGCTAATCTTCTCCACTCTTAACCATCCATGTCCCTTTATGATTTATTATTATCTCTTTGGCGTTTTCCTACCATAGTAAGCTATTATTTTCAAGTTTCATTCTATTTAAAAGTAGTTTTGTACATGGCAAAAACAACTAAAAATACCGTGACTGAGTTCCTAATAAACCGTGACTAAGCTAATTACGTTGGGAAAAACCAAGATTAAGACATACCATTAACAACCACTTTCATGCCAGTGCCATTAAGAAAAACTGATTTGATATCTTTTTTTGCATCAGCAAAGTAGATCAGTTTGGAGTCGTAGTCGACGTCAAGATCAACCACAGAGCTCCGTCTTCGAGTTATAGTTGAGAACTCTGGCGGTCGGCGGAGTGGACTGATGGCTGAAAATCCGATTTTTTTCTTTCCACTGACGACAAGGAAACTGCTGTCATTCAAGCAGGACATACCGTCAGATGCTACGAGGCCAGACACACAGACACATCTGAAACACAAGCACACTGTTGAAAACCTACCCTTTGATACTATTAAATAAATCCAGTTACAGGGCGAAAAATTTCTTTGGCTTGTATTAAGTACCTGAAGAAGTTTGCAAACGAAATTATATATCTCTTTTGATATTAATCTACAGGCATTCTATCTGGAATGCCGTTCTCTGATTGGCTACACTAGTCGCTATGTAATATTTTGTGGATAGTGAGAAGCCTAACAGTGTGCGGTTGTTAACAGAATGTCGGCAGTTTCTTTGCGTTTTCTAAGTGTGTGTGAAGAAGATTTAGATAAAGGTTTGAATAAGTGGATTTATACTTTACTTCGGGGTAGTACTGGATTCTTCTTCACGTAGTTTGGAACACTTCGGCTTGCCTAGCATAATCTCAACATGCTGAAAATTATGTCTCCAGATTGACCTTCTTTTTCTCCAATTTCTCCTCTCATACTTTTAACGTATAAAAATGCATACAAGGCTAACCTTCTCTGAGATGACGACACTGCTAAGCATAACTCTTCGCAGCCTCCATTGTTGACACAAGGACCGCCCGGTGGCTGGCGTTGTGGTGAGAATACACGTACATCTCTTAACACGTCTCCCCCTGTCGTAATGACTGTAATATTTGTGCCGTTCTGTTTCTCTGCTCTGAAGACGGACTTGTTACCTGAGTCAGTCCAGTACACAAACCGGTCAAGCAGGGTTATGCCGTAAGGATGGTCCAACGATGAGCTGACAACTCGTTCTAAATTCCCTACAGAGTGTAGTAATGTTAAGTTAGTTACTTGACCAAAACAGTTTCATTCACAGTTAGAACCACCTTGCATAGCATAATTCACAGCACCACATGAAAGTACTGCTCGATAGCCTTCATTTGAATGGTCACACACTAGGGTTTCATCCACAGAGTAAAAAGTTAGAACCACCTTGTACAGCATAATAAACAGTACCACATGAAAGTACCGCTCAATAGCTTTTATTTGAATGGTCACACACTAGGGTTTCATCCACAGAGTAAAAAGTTAGAACCACCTAGTACAGCATAATAAACAGTACCACATGAAAGTACTGCTCAAAAGCTTTCATTGTAATGGTTACAAACTAGGGTTTCGTCCAAAGGATTAAAAGTTAGAATCGTCTTGTACAGCATAATAAACAGTACTAAATGAAAGTACTGTTCAATACCTTTCATTTGAGCGGCCAAATACTAGAATTTCATTCACAGGCTTAAAAGGTTCTAACCACCTTGCAGAACATTAAAAACGATACCTCATGTAAGTTTTGCTCAACACCTTTCATTCTAATAGTTAGACCCAAGATTTCGTTCCCAGAGTGAAAAGTCGAAACCATCTCGAACAGCAAAATAAACAAGACCGCACACAGGTAAATTAAGTACAATGGGTCAAGGGTGGGGTGGGGTGGGAAGAATGCTTCAAGGGTATTCAGGAACCCCGAGGTACCCTTCCCCGATGAAAAACCTCAGCCGTTTGTTACCTACTCACCACCATCAAGATCCATTTTCCAGATGACATCGAGAGACTCATCAACCCAGTAAACCTTATCTTCCTGGTAATCCAAGGTAATTCCTATTGGGCTCTTAATGGTCCCTCTTTGTACCAAAGACTGCCGGCCTGTACCGTCCATTGAGGAACGCTCCACTTTGCCCCTGCGACCATGATCTGTCCAGAACATGAGCCCTTTTGCCGGGTACACTGCTATTCCTCTGGGGTCACCCAAGTCAGTGGAGATTACCACTGTTCTGTATCTGCCATCTAATCTACTAACCTTGTGAGAGATAAAAGGCAATCTTTGTATACAACTTTTTTAAACAAAAATATTAGTTCTGAATATGATATTATCAGGGCACACCAAGAGTTACTGTCCCAAGAAATCTGATCCCGATGTAATACATATTTTTTGACTGAAGCGGGTTTAAAAGCTCCAGATTTTATAAAGAATGTATAGGCTCTTTAGCGCTATGGCCGCCCATAAATTATCCAGTTTTTGAAAACCAAAATCTCCTTCAGTATTACAGTTAAAGAGCTAAATATTTTACCATGTTCTAAGTTTCACTATCTAACGAACGTGATGTTTTCTCTACGCAAAATCCTATGGCAATGAGGCAGAATGAGAGCGAAAAAAGTGCCTGTAACATCTGTGGTACAATCTTTTGACATGGAGTACTAAGAGGCGACACGCAAGGTAGATATACACTGTAAGAGTTCGCATCACCGAATGACTTGATCCCTTGCTATATGATGTTAGCCAGTGCAACGTGTGGGAAATACTACTACTACTAATAATAATAATACTAACATTTTAGGTGATCAACGTAAGACTTTTAAGGAATTACAAGGTATATAATTGTTTCAATTTTGCTGTTTTCCTTGTCGTACAACAAAGTAAGATTGCATTGGCCTTTAAATTTCCGGACACGATTTTCATCCTTCGTTGCAGATGAAAATAGCATTAATTTGACTTTTTTACTGTTTGGAATTTCCCTTACATTAGCTCTAAACGTAGTGGATATAGCCTTTATACCTAACACAAAGCCTGTCAAGTCAGACCATCTCAAGCCCTTTTTTAGCTGGAATCAAATACCAGAAATGAGCTTCACATACCTCAATGACATCATTACCAGAATCCGTCCAAAACAGGTTTCCAGCCACCCAATCAACGGCAAGTCCTTGAGGCCTGCGGAGCCCAGAATTTATGATACTTTTCTTTGCAGTTCCAACTCGTGATACCTGACCAATCTCGTTTGCGCGATCGTCCGCGTAGAAGAGTAAACTGGAGTTGAAGTAGAAGTCTACCGCAAAACAGTTACGCGCGACACTTAACGGCTGCATTACTTCCTTCTTGCTGCTTGGGCCCAAGGAGATGCCATGGATTTCTGCAACGAAATAAGCGAGAATTTTCAGCAAGAAGGAATGTTTTTGAAACTAAAGTCAACTCGAAATATTGTGTTGTATTATATTCTATAATGTACTTTTACTTTTATCACATAGGATAAAATCATTATTCTCGCATTTTGATTGGTTTCTTACTTATGATCTATTGGAGGACAGACGTATAGATGACGTCATTGACATATCGTTTTTGTTTCTTTATCATATAAGACAGAAAGAGTCCATGTTGCCATGCGTCTGTTCACTAATAGATCACAGAGGACACCAAAATGTGGTAAGAACATTAGTGACACACTCATTTATCGCCTGGTGTGACGTTTTTGTTCTTAACACGTTTTGACGTCATCTGTGTTCTGTTACTGTACAGACGCACAGCAACAAGGAATCTGTTTGTCAAACAACCATTTAACAACTGAGCACGGGAGGAATAAAATAACAAACTATAACTCTAAGACTCATTAAAAATTCATCCGTTTTAAACAAAGCAAGTCATAACCGCAACAGTGTTTGGAAATGTGCTCTGTATTAGCAAACATTTTGAAGATTTTATTTCTTCGTCTTGACCTAGACTTTTGATTCAGGGAATATTTCAAACATCCCAGAAAGTGGTCCATCACCTAAATGTATAATTTCGTCAAAACTACTCCATTGTCAGTCCCAAGTCCAATACTCTTTTCTACATTTAGAGACGTGATGAAACACTTCGTCTCTAGCTTGATACACGACGTTACAAATTCCAGTACCTGTAGCCGTTGAGTAGATCAAAAAAGTATCCACACTCTGGCAGGTTTTGGCATCAGAAGCCAACGCAAATCCCATAGCACAAGCGCAACGGACTGAGTTTGATCCTAACGGCAGACACAGCTGGGTACAATTGCCATTGTTCACAGTACAACCACTGGTGCCTGAGACAGAACTAGTTGATTAATTAATGAATCTGCAGCTCATTCTATGAATACATTTGCCCAGTACAATGTAAGCTTAGTTTAAATGACTCATATTGAACCAACTACCAGATATAACAGGCAACTGGATTCATCACGCAAAAAAGAGGATGGCTGAACCTTGTCATATCTATCACGACTTTAGATTACCCAGAATTGCCTCTATCATTACAACTGACTCTAATATCGAACACATTTTACGATCTTGACAATGTCGCAAAATTTATCGCAAATTCACCTGGACGTAAGCAAACTCTTCTCTCACACTAAATAAAGACTTTTAAAGAGGCACATTGGTTCGTAGTGACCTAACAAAATTCGGTTTGCGAAGAGCAGTTCGAGTTAATTAACGTATCGTACACTTTAAAATAGTTGAATGTTTTGAAACGGACGGTTCATTGAGGACACTGGGTGTTAGCTGCATTGAAATTCTCGCTACTGCATCTGGCATTTCGAATTTATTTTGTCGAGGAAAATGTATTTTTATCAGGGAAAAGTCTGGAAATTTTGAAAGTGATGTCTGTAGCAACCATGTTTTCACAACAGATGAGTACCTGCTTGGTTTTCTTTAGTGTATATACGCACACCATACAGGTATTCCGTCTCCTTCTTTAGCACAGTTTTCCTTCCACCATACGTGGAGCCCTGAAAGACGCTAGTCTTCCTCCAGTCGGTCCAGTAGAGCTTTTCATGATGGACATCCAATCCAAACGGATGCGACAGAGATCGATAGAGAACCTGCGCTGACGTCCCGTCAAAGTTCATCCAACCAATCACATGAGTCCCTGCATCGCACCAATACAGTTTGTTGGTGTTGAAATCGATGGCAAGTCCATTGGGGAATTTAAGATTGGTTGTCTTGAGGCGGGTCCTGTCTGAACCGTCCGTGAAGGCGCGTTCAATTCTGGCGTTATTGTCTTCCCAGTCAGTCCAAAACAGCAACCTGATAAGAAAGCAGAAGAGCTACGTTTAAATGACAACGAAAGAGCAGTAAAACATTTATTAAAGGAGTGACAGTGCATCTGTCCACAGACGTTTATTTCTTTGCTACGAGTTATTTTTCTTCGAGCGTCTGTCCGTAATAGTAAGGTGTCCATAATAGTGGACTGTCTGCAAGGTGAAAGTTGACTGAATGTATGCGTTATCACTAGTGAAAGCTTTCCACGTTTCACTGTAGTAGTTAACGGTCTCGTGAAGAATACACATCTTACCCCATCATGGGATGAACAATAATTCCTCTGGGTTTAGCCACATCGGAGGAAATCAAAACCTTCTGATAACTACCATCAGAGCGAGCAACTCCAATAACCTTCTTCCCTGTGTCTGTCCAGTAAATATTCTTTGCTGTCCAGTCGTATGTTATACCTTCCGGTCGAGCCAAGTCTGGTACGAAAAAAAAAAACAACCTACTTGCAATTTGACATCACAACTCACTGCATGCATTAATCAATACAATAACCCTTTTTTTGCATTCAGTGACCTTTCATAGTATTGCTTGACAAAACTAGACCATGATAACAACGTTTACATCAATCAAAATATGTGTTTTGGATTTCGTTTTTCGAGGTCTTTCTCACGAGAGCCCTAATAAGAACAGTTCCCTTAACAAGATGAGAAATCATTGCCAAGAAAACCGTAGATACAAATTTACCGCACTTCTTCTCTAAGATCAAGCTTTCAATAGCAAACTTATTCTCTTATTTAACAATTAGATTCGAGATTTCTATCGCGTGATACTTGACGAGGGCGCAGCCCGAGTGAAAATCACGCATAGAAATCGAGAGGGAGTAATCTAGTTGTTTTAGTCAGTATAGATCTACCAGTCTTTCAAAACTTCATCTAAATCCTCTCCATAGACTCTTTGAAAACGCAGCGAAACGGCCGCCATTTTGTTAACAACCGCACACTGTTAGGCTACACACTGTCAACAAAAGACACACTGTCACACACCAAAATAGAGATACTGAGTAGCGTAGCCAATCAGAGAACGGAATTCGTAATAGAACGCTAATTGAGTTATTCCAATACACCTTATAGATGTTACTTGCGGTGTTATATTAACAGACTGAACAGCTTACCATCGGCAACAACTGTTTCACGACCGGAACCATTGAAAAATACCCTGGAGATGGAATCTGCTTTGATGTCACTCCAGAAGAAGTATTTATCCTCTACACTAACATCAACCCCAACTGCTGTCTCTAGTTGCCGCACAGGAATGATCTGATCTTTGGTGACGCTTGGATTTAAAGATATCCCTGTTACTATTGCCTTCCTGGCATATAGAAGGATTACTTCACTTTCTGTAGAAATAAATGGCAGTCCAGTATTATAAAACCTCATTGCTGTGTACAAACAAAACGATCCAAATAGAAAGACACACACAGATTCCTCTCCTTGCAAATTTGAAAATTGTTTTTACGCAATATCGGCTGTGCATATACCATTTTGTGTATTTCTGTGCAAATACACGATTGAATGACTGAGTGACCGAGTGAAAATAAATGGCTCTGAAGAGAGCTTGTAAAAATAAAGCAATTTTCTTTTTTTGGGACCAGTGGCTCTCCAGGCCCAGTGGATGTCTTCGACATTCGCACGGTAAAACAACTAGGAGTCTCTCTACTCTTCTCTTCTCAAACAATTCACTGTTACCCACTTATACAGCTCTAAAATCTCTATTAAATTTACCAAGGATTAAAAACAAAAAAAACAAACTTCAAATAAAAGCAGAAATACATGCTTCTTTTCTTTCCAGAAAATGAGTCAAATCAGGTTTTAGCGATTGATTTGCCAGGGTGGTGAGTGACAAGTGAGCAAGTGAGATGGGAAGGGGGAGGGGCAGAGGAGGGGTGACTGCGTGGCCAAAGGACACAACTCCAACAAAAGACTTCTTGAGTTCTGCATGTCACAATCCGCACAATAAACGTTAGGTGAGCACGACTTCTGTTAAACGAAAGGGGCAGCGAAACATGCCGGAGCTGCATATAGCACACATGAATTTATCAAGTTAGATGGGCACTTTTACCTAGACAAGTGATGCTGTCATCCTGCAGTACCATGCCCACAGGGCAGTTACAACTGTATCCTTGAGGTTTGAGAAGACACAAGTGAGAGCAGGAACTGTTAAGGCAGTAGTTGACACCTGAAAACAACAAACAAAAAAGATATATTAACCAAGGGTACTACCAGCAAAGTTAAGATTTGGCATGCGGCATAAAACGGTGGACGTTTCAGACATTTTGAGGTACCCCTTTCATCAGTGGAGGTTTGCTGCAGTCATTTATAATTTGTCTTCAATAAAAATGCCATGCAGTTCCTAAACTGCAACGTTCAATTTTGTGGCACCAAAACTGGAAAAAATTTGATGAAGACAAATTCAAGGTACAACGCAATATTTGTTTTCTTGGAGGTTTGGAAAAGGAATTTGCGAACCATGTCGCGCTTCAAGTCAACCACTTGAAGGAACCACGTCACAGTTTGCATATATTGAAAGGTTTAGCCTAAATTCTTCAAGTTCGTCGTTTATAATCCGTGTTAATCTTTTCTATCCTTAACCATCCTTGTTCCTTTAAGGTTTATTATTATCTCTTTGGAGTTTCTCCACCTTTCCTTCAGTTTAAAGGTAATTTTGTGCACGACCAAAGCAACTCAGAACCCGTGACGGAGCTCCCTTTACAATCTCCCATTGCGTGACGGTCAGCAACTTCACATTCCCTATTGCGTGGCGGTTAACACTTAACATTCCCTTATTGCGTGACACAGTCCCTTACCTTGTGGCTGCTGAACGGGATGGACAACATGCAAGTCCATCGGTTTAAACCCTGCCGCATGAATCAAGGCGGCGTCACCACCATGGAACTTGTTTCCGCGCTTCACTTGTTTTCTTTCCCAGTCTGACCAGAACACTGTGTCCTCAAACAGCGCAATGGAAAACGGTTGGCGTATTTTTCTAGCATCTCTGAGCACGTTATAACGTTGAGAGCCATTGTAGTTACAGAAGCCAATGTAATCCAACTTTGCATCGATCCAGTACAGTCGTCTACATGGACAATACAAGCAAACAACTTGAAATTATCATTACAGAATCGGTTCGGTAGCACCATGTGTTAGAGACGAATTGATGGTAACTATAACACTAGGGACTAGGGAGCAGGGATGGCACAGTGGTGAGAGCGCTCGCCTCCCATCAATGTGGCCTGGGTTCGATTCCGGTCCGGTGTCATACGTGGGTTGAGTTTGTTGTTGGTTCCTGCCTTGCTCTGAGGGTTTTTCTCCGGGTTCTCCGGTCTTCTTCCCTCCACAAAAACCGACATCTCCAAATTCCAATTCGACCAGGATAGAGAACCCGCATAAAAACCAGCCAAAGATGATGTGCCTTTCTCTCTATTAATTAATTTATTTTATTTATTAACGTTCGCACCAACCTGTTGGCGAAATCAAGTGTGATTCCGTTAGGCCACTCAATTGTAGTGTTGACAATCACTTGTCGAGAACTACCATCCATGTTGGCTCTCTCAATCCGGGGCTTTGACGAGCCCCAGTCTGACCAGAAAAGAAGCCTGACACAAAATGGAGTCATACTTAATTCTTTCAATTATTTCTGATAAGGGACAACTACATCAAAGTTACACACGTCTAAGTTACCCAAGAAAATATGTCTGTTGGCATTTAAGATGAGAATTTCGGTGACAGGAATTAATAAACAGGACAATATTTTGCGTAAGATGAAATTCTGGTTAAGGCAGCCAAGGCAGTCTTGCCAAAACCCAAAACAAAAGAGAAAAAATTCATGCATAGGAGACTTGGTAAGAGCTATGTCACTAGTTTCGTCTTTTTATACCATCTTGTTTCATCTCTAATATGGAACCAAATTTCGATTGTGTCCAGTTCGTGTGCTTAAAGAAATACAACATGACGTTTCCCTTTCGTTATTTTGGGTAAAAAGGATTTTAGAAACAAAGCTTAGCTTAGCTGAAGATGGGGAATGTGTNTAGCATCTCTGAGCACGTTGTAACGTTGAGAACCATTGTAGTTACAAAAGCCAATGTAATCCAACTTTGCATCGATCCAGTACAGTCGTCTACATGGACAATACAAGCAAACAACTTGAATTATCATTACAGAATCGGTTCGGTAGCACCGTGTGATAGAGACGAATTGATGGTAACTATAACATTAGATACTTCACTAGGGAGCAGGGATGGCGCAGTGGTGAGAGCACTCGCCTCCCACCAATGTGGCCTGGGTTCGATTCCAGTCCGGTGTCATATGTGGGTTGAGTTTGTTGTTGGTTCTCGCCTTGCTCTGAGGGTTTTCTCCGGTTTTTCCGGTTCTCCTCCCTCCACAAAAACCAACTTCTCCAAATTCCAATTCGATCAGGATAGAGGTCCCGTATGAAAACCAGCTAAGGCTGATGTGGCTTTCTCTCTATTAATTAATTTATTTCATTTATTAACGTTCGCACCAACCTGTTGGCGAAATCAAGTGTGATTCCGTTAGGCCACTCAATTGTAGTGTTGACAATCACTTGTCGAGAACTACCATCCATGTTGGCTCTCTCAATCCGGGGCTTTGACGAGCCCCAGTCTGACCAGAAAAGAAGCCTGACACAAAATGGAGTCATACTTAATTCTTTCAATTATTTCTGATAAGGGACAACTACATCAAAGTTACACACGTCTAAGTTACCCAAGAAAATATGTCTGTTGGCATTTAAGATGAGAATTTCGGTGACAGGAATTAATAAACAGGACAATATTTTGCGTAAGATGAAATTCTGGTTAAGGCAGCCAAGGCAGTCTTGCCAAAACCCAAAACAAAAGAGAAAAAATTCATGCATAGGAGACTTGGTAAGAGCTATGTCACTAGTTTCGTCTTTTTATACCATCTTGTTTCATCTCTAATATGGAACCAAATTTCGATTGTGTCCAGTTCGTGTGCTTAAAGAAATACAACATGACGTTTCCCTTTCGTTATTTTGGGTAAAAAGGATTTTAGAAACAAAGCTTAGCTTAGCTGAAGATGGGGAATGTGTTAAAGAATCGGCCACCTCACATATCACTTAGTATATAATTTTGAGCCGCATGTTGACAGCCAGACAATGTTTTGGCCAAAAGAAAATAAAAAAAAAAGAAACTGTCCTTACCCATCCCTGGGGTCAACAGCAATCCCACGGGGAGATTTGAGGTCATCCGAAAACAAAGCCATGCGCCATTTACCATCTAAGGTAGACACCTCAATTTGTTGGGTTTCTGTGTCTGTCCAGTACAAATGTCGACCAATCCAATCAACAGCAAGTCCTGCAATAGATAAGTAAGACTTTATGAGATCAGCAATGGTCAGCCTCTGGTAGACTAGTTCCTATTGTACTCAGTACAATAGGAATTAGTCTACTAGAGGCTGACAGTAACTGTGATCATGATAAGCATTATCTACAAGAGAGGTTATGTCTTTAGAGCATTTCCATATGACAGGCTAGAATCACATGGTACGAAAATATGCGCAGATATTTGACCGAGAACATAACCTGTACCAAGAGGCGAACATTTTTCTGGAAGTGAAGCTCAAGCTTACTAACAAAACCAAAGGAAAAATCGTCAAAAATAAGATACAGATCGTAAAGATTAGAGATGATTGCGACGAACGTCAAACGACGAACTTATCTGGCTACGTTACGGTTTGAGCACCTTACAAAGTTTAGCCCACTTTTTTTTTCAAATTCGTCGTTTGTAATCCGTGTTAATCTTCTCCAACCTTAACCATCCTTGTTCCCTTGTGGTTTATTATCATCTCTTTGGTGTTTTCTAATCTTAGTAAACTACTATTTTCAGGTTTTTTTCAATTTGCGTTAAAGGGGCTCAGTCACGGAATTTTGAGTTATTTTGGCCACATACAGAATTACCTTTAAATGGTAGGAAACCTGAAAATAACAGTTTAATAAGATAGAAAAACACCAAAGAGATAATGATAAACCATAAAGGAACAAGGATGGCTAAGGATGGAGAAGATTAACACGGATCACAAACGACGAATTTGAAAAATCGAGGCTAAACTTTTCAATATGCGCAAACCGTGACTGAACTCCTTTAAATTTTTTTCTGGAGGTACCATCTGTGAAGAAACATATTGAAGAACATTTGAAGAAACCTTAATACTTTACCTTCCGACGTCAAAAGCCCTGTTGTTATAACATCCTCACATTTACTGCCATTTAAGAAACATCGCACGATTTTATCACTGTTGACATCAGAATAGTACAGTCGTTGTTCCGACCAGTCGAAATCTATCCCAATGGTGTTTGATAAGCCGTCTAGCACTGTGGTATAGTTTGATCCTTGCCGAAGGTTGATCTTCCTTATTTCACGTCGAGTCGAGAAATAAAGGTACGGTGCAATTGCGTCTGTAAACAACAAATAAAACTGCTATCCAGATTGTGATTTCTACATCTTCAAGTTCTAATTAACAATTACACTACTCGCACGAGTTTTCTACGAGCGAATTGTCAACGAGGCGTAGCCGAGTTCACTACTGCTAATAAAAAACGAGGGCGAGTAATCTAATTGTTTTTGTAGACACTCTAAAGGATTACAGCACAAAACCCACAATTTTGTGTATTTTTAGCCCAAAATTAATAATATCTTTCCAATTCAAGAGCAGTGCCCACGCGATCGTTGTAACATCTTGTGCTATTTCCACAAGTCGAGCTAAGAATTAGTCTGAACTCCACCTGTGGCTGTTATCTTATAACAACTCAGAAACAGTTCGTTTTACAGAGGCGTAAAAGCGTACAGGATAAGCAGAGAGGTACTATGTAATAAGTGGTGGTAGTTTGCTGTTGCCTAATAGGTCCTTGGTGATTAATTCAGCGTTATAGAAGAAGATGACATGATTAAGTACATCCTTGCTTCCTCGATCTTTCGGACTTTGGTAAAAGAAGCAATTCTGAAAAAACACCTTTTGACATCGTCGCCTGAGCATTTACTCTTGTGTATGAATCAAAAATGGTATCTCGGGTATCTTGGAATCAACCTGAAAAGTTCCATAACTCTAATAAGCCTGCAAGATCCTGACTAGTTCTTGGGCAGTTTTGAATTTTCCATTCAAAGACACTACACGGATCTCTGTCGTGTTACGTCATCAGAAAGGGACTTTTCAAGTCGAGTTCCAGACCTCTTTAGCGGGAAAGACTGGCACTGAAAGTAAAGACGCCCGGTTTTTCAGGATTTCCGCTTACCTGCAGCTTTGCATCGCTTCATGTCAGATTCCAGTTTGTAGCCCTCAACGCACTTACACCAGAACGATCCTCTGTTATTGAAACAATGCTGGCTGCATGAGCTGGGGTCCTTACACTCATTAATATCACGGCACGTCTTGTTGTCATCCGCTAAATGAAACCCCTCGAAACATGAACATAGCACACCTGTTGACATCAAAGAAATAACTCAGTAGCCTAACAAGTGACAAGGATTAGTCGGTTGGCTGTTGTATCGTCGGGATTGGACCCAGGCTATGTAGAGCGCAGATACAAAAGCGCAGGGAAAACAAATGCACCGAATGCATCATCCTTTCGTAGACCTTTAACTAAGTTAAATTTTACCGGCTGTCAATGCAGTAATTGCCTTCGACTTAATTTATATAGATATACGTCATTTCTAATTTAAGATATTAGCAATATTGTCAAACACTTTAATCATTAGCCTCTGGCTAGGCGGACTGGGAGACCAGCCCCTGTGTAATTTGACATGAAATAAATTATCTTATCTTATCTTAAATTATCTTATCTTAGGGACAGGAGGGACTGAACTATAAGTGTACCAAATACTATTGTCTTTAATATAGTATTAACCCTTGATCCCTTGAAAATTTTAATCTTTCTCCCTTATTCCCTACAAATAAATTCCATTGTTCCTTAAAAAGTTCGGTCAAAGTTCCTTTTAATAGTAGAAATATCCCTTGTTCCCCCAAATTAATCCCAAAAATATCCCTTGTTGCCTTGAAATAGATGATCGTTCCCTTGTTCCCCCAACCCCTGGGAAGCCCTCATAGTATTGTAGAGAGATTTCTAGGTTGACATAAACTGTTTTCTCTTGTCACTTTATTCAACATTTGAATAAAGAATAAACCACGAGGGCTAACAATAAATTTAACTGACCGTTTAGGCTGCAAATTAAAGCAAAATTCCAGCATGAACTAACCTTCTGGGATATCGTTGCAGACCTGAGAGCAGCCTCCATTATTCTGCTCACAGCCACCCAGTAGACATCCAACTCCCTCGTCGCTACCATCAGGGCAGTCTGTGTGTCCATCGCAGAATCTACTGTCCTCCACACACACAGAGGAATTGAAGCATTGCCGCTGAGTGGGGCTGCATGTCAAAGTAACTACCGCTGTGGAAAAAAGAACGTGTAGGATAATGGAGTTGCTTCTAGGGAGCATTAAAATAAGATCTATTACAAAGGTTTAGGATGTGTACATACAGATCAACCCCTATTAAACGGCCCACCTCTGGGAAATGGATAGTGGCCGCTTAAAGGGGGCTGAACGCTTAATAGAGGTAAAAACAAATAGAAAAGCCTTCACTTGATTACTGGCCGCCTAATAGGGGTGGCCGTTTAATAGGGGCTCGACTGTAGCTTAATAGCATAATTAGTTACTTTATCGACTCTACGTTTAATTTTTTCAAAGAATTTTAGATGAACTGTAGCTATCGTGTATGTACTTTGCACGAAGTTTCATGTAATTTTAATTTTATTATGACGGTGACGGTGTTTGGATATCTAATCTTAATTAGCATAGATTTTTAGTTCCTTAGTTCCGTTTTAAGAAGATATATCAAACACTAGAAAGAGTGTTTCACAACGGTTCCAAACCCCTCGAGATTCGTCTAGAGCATCCCGCTGCACGTCGTATTTTCAACTCTCTTCTCTGTTTGGAAATGTGATGAAGCACTGTCTCTCGTCTTTGATGTACTACTTACAGCAATTTCGCTCATCGCTCAGATCACCACAGTCATTATCGCCATCACATTTCCACTCCGTCAGAACACAGCGTTGGTTGTCGCAGGTAAACTCGGTGGGGCGGCAAGTTGGTCGTGTGCAATTTGCATGCTCGTCCGAACCGTCACCGCAATCATCATCAAGATCGCAGACAAATCGTTCCGGGATGCATCGTGTGTTGTTGCAAGAGAACTTGTCGGCACCACAACCACGTACAGAGGTAGCTGTCAATGAAAGTCAAATTCAGAGTTTAAGAGTTTGCAATATAACCTATAATTCTTTCAATGTCCTTTGATCCGCTTGGTGTCTGAAACCAATCCTGTGGGAGTTGAACGCAAAGGGGTACCAGAATGAAGTGTTTCAAGGAATTTCGACCAGGAGAGTAGTGAGCCTGTACATTGGTCGCCTACTTTAAAAGAGCACAGTCACAGTATTTCGAGTTATTGTGGCCATGTACAAAATTACGTTTAAACCAAAGGAAACTACGTAGTAATAGCACTTTACTACTGCGGTACGATAGAAAAACACTAAAGAGATGATAATAAACCATAAAGGAACAAGGATGGTTAAGAATGAAGAAGATTAGCACGGATAACAAACGACGAACTTGAAAAATTCAGGCTAAACTTTTCAAGACGCGAAACCTTGACGTAGCTCCTTAAAGTTGAATTTGTCAATATTTCAAAGTGTATCTGGATAAGCCAAAAGGCTAAGACAAAGCCGCTGGAAAATAGAAGTTACTTTTAGGCTAATTAAAAGGACAACATAGAAAAAAATCTAGCGTAATTTGGAGAATAAAAAGAACCATATGGTTCAGGCAATGCACTTTACACTGCAAAGCTGTAGCACAAATACCCAACACTTCTTGAAACAAAAACTGCTTGCCAATTAAATCTTTTGAGAGATATTCCTCTAATATATGAAAGTTTGACTCTCGAACAGCCATTTGGGACACTAAATGTATGGCTCTTTATAAATCTCCATCACCAATACGGAATAACTTGGGCTGAGATCCAAGATGTCCAACCCCTCCCTCCTGCAATTTCACACTGCGAGGAGAGAGGCCAGTGTCTACGGGATGGAGATGATTGTCTGCAAACTAACTAAGTTTCTCCAGCCACAGCTGTATAAGGACAAGGAGAGTAAGAAGGCTCCGCCCACACTACGCCGGAGGAATTTGAAAACGGAGGTTTCACTCTGGAAACGCATCAAATGTTTTCCGTCCACACTCCGCCGGAGAAATTTGAAAACGCAACAATCTCTGGTCAATTTGGATTTATGTTTGAGGAAACCTCGCTCAGGGAAATCATATCATTATCATGGTGGCATCGTTCGAAAAGATCCGTTTCCAAAATTTTTCCGTCCACACTAAAAACGCAGAGCCGGTGTTTTCAAATTCCTCCGGTTTGAAGAGCGTTTTCGAAAAGCTCCGTTTTCGTGACGGATTAGTGTGGACGGTAGACC